GATGTTGGCAGAATAGGATTGTGGCTTAGCTGTCCTGGGCAGAGCCCTGGGTGGTTACAAAGTTGGTATCTGCCAAAAGAAAAAACCCATGGATGCTTACATTTGCCAGTGCTCATACCTATGGGTGGGAGATGTTGGCAGAATAGGATTGTGGCTTAGCTGTCCTGGGCAGAGCCCTGGGTGGTTACAAAGTTGGTATCTGCCAAAAGAAAAAACCCATGGATGCTTACATTTGCCAGTGCTCATACCTATAAAACAGACATCCACAGGCTTGCATTTTTCTAGATACACAGTCTCTATCTGCCAATATGAGCCGGTGGGTATCTGTAACCACATACCACAGCTGCCTGTGATTTGCATCACTCTCATCATGCAGCAGGTGAAGTTGAGTTTTCTGTGCAGTGGTGCTAGGTTTAGATGCACAACTAAAGAAGGCCCTTGGCAGTGGAGGACTAAGCTGGCTAATCACCTGCCACGCATTTTGCACTAATTGTTTGATCTGAATTAAAACCCTGCAGGTGCTGTTAAGAAGGGGCCTATCTTCCTCTTGGGGATCTAACCCAAGCTCAGTTCTTCATGTTGAGAGTAAATGGAGGCTGTAGCTTGAGTTGTCTGCCCTTTCTTGTTAGCTGTTTCTCCTCCGACCTAGACCATTTCAGATGTTCTGCAGATCAAATCCGAAAGAGAGCTCAGGAAGCCCTTGTTAAATACAGGTGGCAATGTTGGGGACTGTTAGTGCTATTGCACAACTTCCACTCTTGGCTTGGACATTTATTGAAAGCACCATGCAATACAACAAACAGATACATTTAATACAAATTGTATCCCAACATAATATGTAAAAATGTACAATAGAGTTCAAGCAAAGTAGTATCTATTGCTTATGCGGAGTTTGTACACAGATGGTCTGGATGAATCTTCACTTACGGGATATATTCTTGGTGCTATTCAATAATCCTATATTAAGACTATGAAGCTATATCTACACTGCAGGTATTTGTCGGCAGAGAGTATGCTAATGAAGCACTGTCATGTACATATTCTCCGCAGATGCTTTTTGCGCAAAAACAAACAGTGTAGATGGGTCTGTTTTGCGCTAAAACCCACTTTTGCGCAAGATCTCCTATGCCTAAAAAAAGGCGGTATACAGGTTCTTGCGCAAAAGGTTTTTTTTGCACAAAACAGACCCGTCTACACTGCTTGTTTTTGTGCAAAAACTTGTTGCGCAAAAAGCATTGGCAGAGAATATGACAGAGCATTGGCAGAGCACTTCATTAGCGCACTCTCTGCTGACAAATACCTGCAGTGTGGATAGCACAGAAATCTCATGTTTTGCAAATATTCCTTTTGGTTCAATGGTTTCCTTTGCAAGTTACAGAAATAATATCTTTGTTTGTCTTAGTACTGTATCTGATTTTACCCCTACAAACTGCTGGATTTATTTAAAAATGTGTAGGGTGTGCTGTTTAAATGCATTATAACTCTGAGATTTTATTTTACATAAACACCAGATTTACAAACAGAGCAGTCAACCACATCCCTAATTTGGAACCAGAAGAACGCAATCAGGCAGCAGCAGAGACTCCACCCCTAAAAAGCAAATACACTACAATACTATGTTAAATATAAGCTACTAAAAAATGGAAGATTAAAAAAAAATTGGCACGGTAAGGAAACTGATTATAATGCTTGTTTCATTTAAATCAAGATGATTAAAAGTGTTTCTCTCTCCCCCTTCCCCCCACCCTGTAAGGTGTCAAAGCTTTATTAAGTCAGCGCTTAGATGTAAACTTTTAAAAGAACAACCATAATGTTTTGTTCAGAGTTACAAACCTTTCAGATGGTATCATGAGCTTTCGTGGGCACAGCCTACTTCTTTAGATGTGGTCATCTGACGAAGTGGGCTGTACCCACAGAAGCTCATGTTAGTCTGTAAAGTGCTACCAGACTATTAGTCTGTACAGGGTAAACTTAAAACACAACAAACTCGGCTATCCCCTGAAGCTTTTAAACTTCTCAGAGTTAGGGATGTTAGTGAGTAGTCAATAAGCTTATGCTTATTGGGTAGTTGACTGGAGTATTGACTACTTTCTAGCCCTGTCTGCAGCCAGCCCTGGCTGCCATGAACAGAAACTGGTGTCAAAGCAGCCTCTGTTGGTGGCAGACAGAGCTGGCTGCTGCCAACAGGGCTCCTGGACTCAGCATGAGGCAAGACAGAGCAGTCCTGGCTTGCACTGGTCCGGGATGCTGTGCCTCTGCATTTTAAATGTAGTAAGAGCCCAGCACCTCTTACTACATTTAAAATGCAGAACTGGAGTGTGGGTGGCTCCTGGGAATATTCAGTCCTGGCTAGAGCCGGCTCCTGGAGCTACCCCGCTGTGACTGTGCAGAGTGGTCCTTCTTGACTAACCATGAAGTAGATAAAAATATTGACTACACAATTAATCAGATAGCTGCAATTGAACATCCCTATTCAGTGTTATGAACAACTTCCGTTCTCAAGGTGTTTATAACTAAGGTTCTGCTGTACTCAAGATCTGCATGCACAATAGGGCTTGAAATCTGATTTATAAATATTAAATGATATTTTATATCAGAGGCAACAGCATAGGGGAGACGAGGTAGGCGGGAGCAGTTACGCACAGGGAGCCGGCTTAAATGCCGGCTCCCCACGCACACCAGCTCCCGGGATGTCTACTGCCACCTTGTGTGAAACGACTGAAATTTTCAGCAGTTGTATGGTTACTTAAAATATATTTTAACATCTTGACTATTATCCTCCAGATACCATGGTGCTACAGGTGAACTATAGATAAATTTTATAACACTACATTAAAGACACATTAAGATTGCAAGGTAATACACTCAAAAGTTAGGAAATGCCAGAAGTAAACTTGCATGTGTGAAAGTATTATGATAGTCAGTCATCTGGTATAATGAAATACTATTTTGGGGCATATAGATTTTTCTGCTAATTAAGGGACAAGAAGAGGAGGGAAATACTATTTTGATACACTTGTAAACTTTTGAAAATGTTAATTTGTTTGTCATGGCCATGTCTTCTGGGACAAAACTTATGACTCTAGGTGTGTCTTTGGACAAAAGCCATGCTTTAATATTTCGGCCCCTTTGAAGACAGTGATAAAACTGTTGATGTCAGGAAGTCCAGTATTGCACATGGTTTCTTTCATCTTCATCACTCTGTTCTTGAACAAAACACTTCCATGAGTGTTTACAGATTTCTGTGTATGCACTCACTCTAGCATGTAGGCAGAGGGTGGCTGCTAGTGTTAAACTTTTAAATATAAAAAATTTTAAACACATTTTGATGTGAAAATGTTTAACCTCTCATGAGAAACAGCATTTTCTAGGACTTTTCCTTTTTAAACTAATGTTTTGTCATGCTGCGATGGATTTGGAATTGCCTGTAAAATAGTACTTGCTTGCAAAATTTGATAAATGTGTCAATCTGTTCTTATGTTTAATGTATGCCTATATTGAAGAAGGACTTGAAAAAGAACTGTGTGGTAAACTCATCTCTCTCTCTCTCCAACAGAATTTAATCCAATAAAGGATATCTCACCCACCTTGTCTCTCTGTGTATAATGTTATTTCAGTTGCACGGTCCTTAGGAAATGCACCCAGGGTAGCAGGGTGCTGATATACCCTTAGCAAATACTTGAGGAACAGTGCAAAAGCCATTACATTGGCACTGTGACTCAGCTCTTTCCTAGTTTCCTCATGAATAGCTCAATCTCTGTTAAACAATCCAAGTGAGTTGAAAGTCTGAGAGGTTAAAAGACTTGAGATAAGATGCAGGGTTGTTTTTTGTTGTTAAATCCTTTTCTTATGTTATGCTTTTTCCCTATGGTTTAATTTACAAAACTTTTATGTTAAAGGCTGTTTTGGGTCACTAAATCACTGTGATGGGCTCCTGAAAGGAAGAAATGCTAATTTCTGAAACCATTTGGATCTGCTTGGGTAAGACTGTGGCTATGGAGTGTATTGTAGCCCCAGGTTTGTTCAGAGAAGCATGTGATTCTACTACTTGAAAAGTAAAGGCACAAAGTTTAGCACTTAAGCAGGTGTGATCAGAGGTGCAGCTGGTCTTGTAGCCATGGCATATGGATTTTCTCATCTCTATCTTTGACAATCATTCAAGGGCCAAATTCTAGCCCTGTAAAATGAGACAGTGAGATAAATATTGGATCATGCTGTAACTTACATTGTAATTGTATAAATAACAAATGGATGTTTCTAAAAGCATTCTAACATAAAGGTTCTTTTTCAGTGAGATTTAGGGAGGATGCTATATATATTCATTTTGTGTTGCCTTAATATCAGGATTCCATGTAAACAGCATCACATTGGAAGTCCTTGACATTTTTGTTGAAAGCAACTGTTCATATGACATGTAGTTTGTCAAATTACAGGCAGTCCCCGACTTACGCGGATCCGACTTATGTCGGATCCGCACTTACGAACGGGGCTTTCTCACCCCAGAGCTGGCAGGCAGCGGTCCCGCCACCTCGACCTCCGGGGCGAGAGAAGCTGCTCCCGGTGCCCCATGTCTGCTGGGGACCATCTCCAGCAGACCAGGGGCACCGGGAGCAAAGCCGCTGAGGACGCCGGCAGGCGGGCGCGCGGCGCGCCGGCTG